ACATAATTTTAGGTTTTCTTTATCTTCCCCCCCCCCGTTCTTTTTTCTGATCATCTCTCTAATAGATTAGTATTAAGAGATCTTTAATTTTGCTAAATTTTTCTTCCATTGATTCAATTTTACTCCTTTGTCCTTCCCATGTATTATCTAGTTAAGAAATTTTCATACTGATCTTTTGAATTTGTAGTTGCTGTTTTTTGTTTTGTTTTTCATATTAATAATCTTTATTGCTAAAGTTAATTGACAGTGTTTGGGAGAAAAACGCACTGTTGATACCAAAGAGCTGAAAGCATAATACATACAGCTTTACAATGGCTAGAACTCACAAAACTCTAGATTTTATTCAAGATTTGCAGAAAGATAGTCTTGAACTTAACAAAAAAGCGAATGCTAACAGGATGTGACAATCTAAACTAGAATTTTTAAACCACTGTAGAGACTTACATACCCTTAGCTAATGTCATAATTGTATATTACTTAGGCTCAAGTTCTTTCTTCAAAGAGTCATCAGAGTAACATGGATTGAAGAGACTTTCAAACACTTGCCATCTCTTACTGCTGAGTATTCATCATATTTTTTTTTTTCTGCAACATAGCCATTTCCTTTCTAAACTCATTTTGTTCACCATTCAGAAGATTTTCATGATTCTTCTCCATTGCCTCCATACTCTTTACAAACTGCTCGTATAACTGTTTACCTGCTTTCAGTCTCTGGCTCTGAACAGTTCTACATTGTTGAAAAATCTTTTCTTGCCATCTAAACGTAATGGTCAGTTTTTCTTCTTGTTCCTCAGTCTCTGCACATCCACATCCCACTGCTGAAGCAGTCAGAAACTGCTGATCATATTCCTGGCTAAGTTTCTGTCTGTGTTCTTACTATGTTTTCCAAATCATTTTAATTTTCTGGTTGCTGCTTTTGAGAGAAGCCTTCATGTACAGTTCTAATCTCTTTTTCTTTGCAAGAAGAGCCTTGTTATTTAATGTCAGCTCCAAACCTTTCCAGCATGTTCTGTACTTCACCCCCAAGATCGTCCTCGACTGTTCCTGTGGGAGACCTTTGCTTCAGATGCTTATCAATTGCTGGAGTCTTTCCTTCTTGAAAATTCTCCTCGGAACCACTCAGATTCTTCTCGATGGTCTCAAACTCGTTGGCCTGGATAATCTTCTCCGTGGTTTGCTTCACAGATTTTCCTGTGTGCTTTCTTTCAGAAAGCGCCATCATGGATGTTTTCTCTGTTGTGTACTTCATCTCCATGACGCTCATCTGAGGCCTAGCTGCTGTTCTTTTTTTTTTCATTTGTCAGTTTGTTCTTGTGTTGATTTCCTGAATGCCTTCAGAGTTTTGTCTGGTTTCCTTGATTTTGTGTGTGATTTACATGGTGTTGTCTTCATTTTCTTTGGTCTCTTAATCTGTTGAAGGGCCTTAAGTATAATTTTTTAAATTTCTTATCAGGTGATACCTATACCATTTTTTCCTCTAGAAGGTTTCGTGGTCCTTTATTGTGGTCACTTGCTTGAGCCACAATGTCTTGTTTTTGTGTCTAGTTGAAGTTGCCTGTTGTCGCACATTTTGTGGTGTTACTGTATTAATTTGTTGATTTTATGTTGCTTTATTTTTTTTATATCCTGGCAATAGGGCAAGTGTGATACACTGGGACACTCATTACCTGCCTCTGGGTGAATTGGTAGCAGGTAAGAGTGTGTGTGTGCTCCACGTCTGTAATCAGTGGTCTTGTAGAGCAGCTGCAGGCAGGCTGGGTGGGTGTTGGTTGCCATCTGTTCTCCATCCAGTGGGGCTGGAGCAGGTGGAGCATCAGGTCTGGATGGGTAGGGTGTCTGGTTCCCGACTGATGTTGTATTGTTGTAAAGTCCCGTCGAGTCGGTCCCAACTGATAGGAGGGGCAAAAGAGCAGTGGGAAAGGAAGGGGAAAAAAAAAGAAAAGAAAGTAAAGATGGGAGTTGTTATTGTTGTTGTTAAGTGCCATCGAGTTGGTTCCGACCCATAGCGACCCTGTACAAAGTTTCTGAGAAGTAGCTGGTGAGCTTAAATTGCCAACCTTGCAGTTCAAATGGCTTTGCAGTCTGGGGCACTAACCCACAGCACCACACCAGGACTCCGGAGATGGGGGTAAAAGAACTAAAAAAGAAAATGGGGGGAGGGGAGGGGAAGGGAGTGGCAAAGCACTGGTCCAGGTGCTGGCCACCAAACACAGCCATGGCTGGAATGCAGCTCTGGCTTCCTGGGAGCTCACAGCAACAGTGGAAGGGGTGGGAGTGGATACTGTGGGCCACAATGATGGTGGGGAGTAGGGCACCTGTTCCACAAGATCAACAAAAAGAGGGGGGAGGAAAAAACACAACAAAGCAAGGAAAGGGACAGGGAAGAAGTAAGAAGAATGAGGAAAGAGAAAAACAGGAATACTGGCACAAGAGCTAGCTGCCAAGCAAGTCTGCAGTGTAATGTGGCACTCTCTGTGATAGTAAGTGCCGCTAGCCATGGACGGCCAGGTGCTGCTGACCATAGACAGGATGGCACACCTACTCTACAGGAGTTTTTAAAAATGGGAGGTGAAGGGGTGGATATGGAAGAAAGAAAAAAAACTACACAGCACTGACAGTGAGAGGGGCATTTGACCAACAGCCAGGTGTTGGGAAGGGCACCTCTGTTCTCTGGGACATTGTATGGGGTAAAGGGGGCGATCACAACTTTCTGGCCACCAATCACCATTGCACTTGCCAATGCAGTCTTGGATGAGTAGAGCTGGTTGTGTGGTTCCTGCCATGATCTGAACAGTCCTTGCAAATATTTCAAAGGGCCATGCTATACCTGGCCAGTTGGCAATTCACCACTCCTTATGCTTCCTTGTTCACTTGTTTCATTTGGTCTCGTCCCCTAATCAGTATTTGATCTTCTTTTTTATCCTTTCCTTTGTAGCTCTGGGTTCCAGAATTGTCATCCATATCTTTTCACTTGGTTTGTTAGGTCTTTGTTAAATAGGGTCTCAGTAGGATAGCTGCATAGACTGCCATCTTGGATCAAGCCTTCTCATTCAGCTCTTAGGTTTATATCCTAGCAATTGTTTTGCTCTTGCTGTTTAAGAAAAATAGCGGCATACAAAAAATCCTTACATACTTGGTTAGATTTGAGAATTTTTATGTTTTTCATTTATCATTGTAAAGCCAAGGGCAGTTTTATAACTGTTTTATATATAGATGTTACATGTAGGGCAACCTGTCTTTAATTAGAGATGGTGGTGGTGGTGGTGGTTATGTGCCGTGGAGTCGGTTCCGACTTATAGTAACCCTGTACAGGGTTTCCAAAGCTGTAAATCTTTACGGGAGCAGAAAGCCTTATCGTGGTCCTGTAGAACAGCTGGTAGTTTCGAAATGCTGACCTTAAGGTTTGCAGCCTGATTCCTAACCACTACACTACCAGAGCTCCTTAATTAGAGATGAATTACTCTAAAAAAAATTAATCCGTTCACATCAAGCATCTTGTTGCATAAATAAACTTCTTGTTAAAAAAAGAAAAACTGGGGAGCGGGGAATGATTGGTAGATTTTAGGAATGTAATTTAAGGCCCTTTAATGGGAAATGGAGTCCTGGTGTGGTGCTATGGGTTAATGCGCCAGACTGCAAAGCCGTTTGAACTGCAGGGTTGGTGGTTCAAGCTCACCAGCCACTCCTTGGAAACCCTATACAGGGTCGCTATGGGTTGGAACCAACTCGATGGCACTTAACAACAACAACAATGGGAAATGGAGTGATCATTAAATTTATTGTTTTGAGGACAGGGTTTCCTTTGGATTCCTCCTTATATCCCTGTTGTTGTTAAGTCAAGTTGGTTCCGACTCACAGCCACCCTATATAGGGTTTCCAAAGAGCATCTGGTGAGTTTGAACCACTGACCTTGCGGTTTAAACCAACCTTGCAATCCAGTGCTTTATCCTACAGCACTACACCAGGATTACTTATATCCCTAGCATCTGTGATTATTAGAAGCCCCAGGTAAGTAAATGTCTGTTGGTGAGTGAGAAAGTAAAAGGCATAGCGCAAATCCTGTTGTGCTTGCTCTCAGAAGACCTAGCCTGACAACCCGAGCCTCACTCCTGACAGCTGACACTGACTTCTTCACCTCCTCTTTCCCAGTACTTCTACCTTTTACTTCTAGCCTGACTGCTCGGGCTGGAACTAGTAGTACAACATTGAATAACAGTGGTGGGTTTCCCTGTGTGGTTCTTGATCTTAAGAGAAAAAGCTTTTAGTCTTTCTATGTTGAGTATGAGGATAGCTCTGGGTTTTCCCACAATTACCTTTAATCATGTCGAGACATTTACCTTTTATTGCTAGTTTGTTAATTTTTATTATTATTTTTATGAAAGTATACTGGGTTTTGTCAAATGCCTTCTGTGAGTCTACTGGCAGCCTTTTTTCTTTCTACTAATGTGGTGTATTACATTGACTGATTTTTAAATGTTGAACCTGCATTCTTGGGATAAATCCTATTTGATCATGGAATATAATAATCCTTTTGCTGTTTTGTATAGGACTCATAAGGGATATCGGTCTCTGGTGTGCCTGTCTGAGTTTGATATCAGTGTGATACTTACTTACCTTGTAGAATGAGTTAGAAAGTGTTCCCTCATCTTCTGGGGGGGGGGGTTTCTTGTTGGTTTTTTTGGAAATATTTGACTGGACTCATTTTTTTTAATCCATGATAAATAAAGTTCCCGAGTGAAAAGTCTGGTCCAGGCCTTTACTTTGTTGAGAGAACACCAACTTCTTGGGGTTTTTAGTGGGAATTTAAGAGATTTAGAGTGAATGTGATTTGCAGTGCTCATAAAAAATGTTCTTATTCCTCTGATTCATAAGTATTGTTTTGTTTTTTTCTCCCCCGCAGACTACGTAGTTGATCAGTGAGCCCACATTTCTGCTCATTTCCTCTGAATATTTCCTTCTCCTTGTTGTCTGGTCTTCAAAGAGCAGTAACCTTGGAAAAAATGGCCGAAGCAGTTTTCCATGCCCCAAAGAGGAAGAGAAAAGTATATGAGTGTTATGAGTCTCCATTGCCGATCCCTTTTGGTCAGGACCACGTTCCTAAGAAAGAATTCAAGCTGTACCGTGCCGAAATGATGAACAACAATGTAATTGTGAGGAACACAGAGGAGATTAAGCAGCTTTATGGAAAAGTAAGTACCGGTGGCCTTGGTGGGGCTGGTTCCTGACAACCCTGAGCAAGCTGTCCATTATTTTCCTTCTCCTTCCCATCTCGCCGGCCCCAAAGCTAAGTGTAAACAATACATCCTCTTCTCTTGGGTTTTGTACAGTGGAGAGACAGTACAGTGTGAATCAGGTACCCAAAGCCACATGTTCCAAGGGGAATGAAATGACAGATGGACATAGTCCTGGGAACCTGTTTCAACAGCACACTCGAGCCAGTGACCTGACCTTTCTCCTCTTTCAATTATAAAAACAGTGCATGTTTGTTAAAAAAAAAAAAAACTCTTAACAGTTGATCTAAATATAAACTCTGAACAGTTGAACATTTCCCTCCTGGCTCCTTCTCCTTTCCATGAAGTGATTTTGAAGCTCGTGCTTGAGAGCTTCACCTCTGTGGCCTGGGAGAGCCACCTCTGTGAGCACGAGACAGAGACTTGGTAGAGAGTGGCCTGGTGGCCCGTGCAGGGCTGCTGGCATTTGGGAGCTGTTGCTCTGGCATGCAGACAGATCAGCTGAGGCTTGAGAATGTACTTTGACTCTGGTCTTTACAGTTTCCCAGCAGCAGTACTAGGTTTGGGTGGAGACTGCTGTCCTGCTTCCCTCCTTCTCTCTTCCTTTCTCTCTGCTTTCCCCATAGCCCATTTATTGCTGGGGACATTTTTTAAAATGACTTTATAGTGGAGTAATTTACATACCATAAAATCCACCTAGTCTTAAGTGTTCACATCAGGACTGTGGAACTGTGGATTCCAAAGCTGGGTAACTATTCCTGCCAGTCCAGTTTTCGAATGTTTCCATCCCCATCGACAGTGCCCTGTGCCTGTGAACTCTTAATCCCTCTCTCACTCCCCTCCCATATGATCTTCCACTGGGCTTCTCTCTGTCTGTATAAAGTAGTCTCTTCTAGACAGTTGATAAGGAGCTTTGGTAGTGTAGTAGTTACGAGTTGGCCTGCTAACCACAAAGTCAGCAGTTGGAAACTACCAGCCGTTCTTTGGGAGAAGGATGAGGCTTTCTGCTCCCGTAAATATTAACAGCCTCAGAAACCCTACACAGGGTTGCTATGAGTCGGAACCGACTCCACAGCACACCACCACCACCAGACAGTTGATGTAAAATATATATGTTGGTTTGGGAATCAGGGAAGAAAGTACTTCAATTCTAGGATTTAAAAAAGATTTTAGATGATAGTTGAACACAATGGAATGTAATTAATGGCACTGAACTATCCCCTTAAAAGTGACTAACATGGCAAATCTTATGTGTTTAACCACAGGATAGTTGAAAAAAGAGAATTCAAGTGCCTAAGTAGACAGGGCTCAGGTGTGCTGTGCTCCTAAGCACGTGGAAGGAATTTCTGCCTCCCCCAGCCCTGTTGCCTTCAGCTAACCAGGCAGAAACTGAAATCATTGTTGTGAGGTTAATGAGGAGTACTTAAAACTTTAGTAGTACTCTTCAAACCATCAGACAGATAAAATGCTAAGACCTTTATAGTAAGCTATGAAAAAATGAGGTGAATCTGCAGTTCAGTAGTTACTTAGCTAAGACATTGGTAGTTAAACATGAACTAACTGGTTTTTTTTCTCCCCTGCTTCCTTGGAAGGGTTATTTTGGAAAAGGTATCCTGTCAAGAAGCCGTCCAAACTTCACAATTTCAGATCCTAAGCTGGTTGCTAAATGGAAAGGTAAATTTGTGCATCATTCTGTTCTTGTGGTAAATGCTCTCTCCTTTCAGTTTTGATCTTCCAGCTCAGGTTACATAGTAGAATTTTAGAGGAGGAAGTACCACACTTGCTGACAACTTTACTGCCCCAAATCACAACTGGAATAATTCTAATGAAGGTGCAGGGTTGCTCATTAGTGGAAATGTGTTTTATCATGTCTGGAATGATCAGAAGTGTTATTCATGTCCTACTATGTGCCTAGCAGAGTACCATGCAAAGTGTTGTTGTTATGTACCATCGATTTGGTTTAGACTCATAGTGACCCTGTATAGGGTTTCTGAGGAGTGTCTGTCTGGTGGGTTCGAACTGCCGACCTTGTTGCTCAAACCAACATTGCAATCGAGTGTTTATCCTACAGCACCACACCAGAACTCCATGTAAGGGGTTGTTGTTGGTGTTAAGTGCTGTGGACTCATTGTGACCCTATAAGGAGCTCTGGTAGCGTAGTGGTTACGAATCGGGCTGCGAACCTTAAGGTCAGCAGTTCGAAACTACCAGCCGCTCCACGGGAGAAAGATGAGGCTTTCTACTCCCGTAAAGATTTACACCCTCGGAAACCCTGCACAGGGTCGCTATGGGTCGGAACCGACTCAAAAGGCACATAACAACAACAACAACATAGTTTCCAAGGAGCAGCTAGTGAGTTTATGTGAAGGTTGGTGCTGGTGATTCAGTGCCTACTCATCTGTGGCACTATGTAAAATGAGTTTTATATTTTATTTTCCAGAAGTAAAATTTTGCAAGAACCATGACCTTAATAGAGTTATTAAATCATGGTAATATATATAGTTTTCCCTTGTTGAGCCTTTTTATATATTTACATATCTTTTATCTTTAGTGTTATTTTTCTTTAAGAACCAATACCAGCAGGTTGTCACATAATTAGAAAGGATTTGAAAAATCATTTTACTGTAAGATAAAATACAAATTAAAGCCACACTGAGAAAACAGGATACATGCCTCATACCATACATAAAAGCAAATTCAGAATGGATTAGGACCCTAATTGTGCAAACTTAAACCATAAAATTATTAGAATACAAAGCAGAGGTAAATTTAGGTCCAGCCTGGCTTTTGACAATGAGTTATCTAATCTAATAACAAGAGCAGCAAAAGACAAAATAAGTAAATGGAACCACATAAGAGAAATTATATGTATATTTTTGTAATTTCCCACGTTGTATTGGAAACTTTCCTGATCTTGTCATACAAAGCATACTTTGAAATCATATGAAATTGTTTTTTGTTTTGATTTTTCACCTGCTTGGAAGGAAACAATGTATGTTTATTTTCTCATTCACACAATCCAGTGGGAACTTACACGTTTTTGTAAACATAGAAAAGTTTTTAACTTGTTCTTAAATGGATGAAATTATGTAATTTTTTTCATTCACACATGTAATGGGAACTTCCTTATCCTTGCTTTAAAAAAAAAAGAATACATTAAAAATAAGTAAAACAACCCTGAGCCCCATCCAGAACCCTCTGAGGTGGGACATTCCCACTTGAAAGGACAAGCAGGCCAGTCTAAAACAGCTAGGTGAACAGAAGATACTTCTTGAAAGAAAGACCAGCAGGAAAAAATCCAAAAATCAAAAATGGCAGTCTGATTGGCTACTACAAGAACAAGCAAGTTGTTCGCTGGGGAGGCATCAAGGCAAGCAATCAACTCCCTTCAGGACAAATCCCCGTCCAAGACTGAAACTCAAAGGGAGCAGGCATGTAAGCTTGCTGACAACCACATTGATCTTCTAGTGAGTGGAAGAGGAGAAAAGGCAGCAATGAAGAAATGGGCTGAGTTCGACCACACTCCATAGACTCCCGTTGACCTGGAGATGAGAGAGAGAAGAGGAAGGGCTGGTTGGTCCAAAGTGTGGTGAGACCTGGGGACTCCTGAGCCTGTGGACAAGGACAAGACATGGAGAGCTAGAGCTGAAATGAAAGCGAAGCATCCAGCTGATACGAAGTGAGGAGAAATGCACAAGAACACTCAAACTTGTAGACAGTAGCCATACGACCTACCTTTGATGGCTTGATGATCATAACTCGATTAGAGGAAAATTTTTAAGAGTTTTTGATAAAGGAAACATGTAAATTGCTAATAATTTTATGAACTTGACCTATACTTACGGATGTAGTAACTCAAAATACCAACTGAGAGGGAAGGAGTCTTCACATCAAGTATCAATCCTAGCCCCTCTGTATACAGGGTTGATAAGGACAGGCAACTCAGACATTGGCTACCTAAAATGGGGGACTACAAAGGTACACAGTGACTGGCATACAAGTTTTCAAGAAAGAGTTTAGTTTCAGAGTGTGTAGGAGAAGGTAGAATCCCCACTGAATAGTTTTCATCTTGTCTAGACAGGTCTGATGAAAGAGATGGGGATAAGATTCTTATAATTTAATAGTGAATAATTATTATCATGACTAATTGCGACTGTCACAACTGTAAAGATAGAAGTTTTGTAACAGAAACGGGAGAGTAGTTAATCTTATAGTCCAAGAACCCTAGGACTATCAAGGGAGAAGAGCACGAGCAGAATGTGGTACCCTATCCAGAGAAGCAGTGACACCAGAGATGGAGACTGAGATGAGGACATGGAGAGAGAGAGCAGCTGAGGCCTCTAGACTCATGGAAAGAGAATGGCTGTGTGCTGGCAGCCAGGAGGCAGGCTTGCAGAATGTGCCCTTTGGTTGTTGAAATGATTATACATTCCTGTATGTTTTTGTACATCAAAAAAAAACAACCAGAGAGAATAGAAGCAAACACTGTTGAATGGTGGCGGGGGGTCAGGTGGGGGAAGAGTAGTAGAAAAGGACCCCCCCCCCACCACCAATAAAGAAAATGTTTTTAAACTTTTGTTCATCAAAAGACTTTACCAAAATAGTGAAGACAAGCTACTGACTTAAAGAATATCTTCAGAAATCCAACAATATATAGTAACCAAATATACATATAAAGAGAGAACTCTGACAACAAAAAGACAAACAACCTAATCATAACATGCACAAAGGACTTGAATGGAGATTTTACAAAGAGGACATTCACCTGGCCACCAGACACATGGAAAAATGCTCAGTGTCATTAGCCATCAGATCAGTGCAAATCAAAACCACAATGAGACACCATTTGACACCCACTAGTAGCGTAGTGGTTACGAATCGGGCTGCGAACTGCAAGGTCTGCAGTTCGAAACTACCAGCCGCTCCGCGGGAGAAAGATGAGGCTTTCTGCTCCCATAAAGATTTACAGCCTCAGAAACCCTGTGCAGGGTCGCTATGGGTCGGAACCGACTCGATGGCACTTAACAAGTCGGCACTTAACAACAACAACAACAACAACAACAGAATGGCTAAGATTTCAATTAAAAGCAGAAATGAACAAATCTTAGTGAGCATGTGGGGAAATTAGAACCCTTATCCACTGCTCGTGGAAAGCAAGATGGTACAGTGTGGCAGTTCCTGAAAAAAAACAAAAATAGAAAGATCATATGACTCATCAACCACATGATCCAGCAATCTCAGTCTAAGATATATAGCCAAAAGACTTGGAAACAGAGACTCAAACAGGAACATGTGTGCCAATTGCAGCACTGTTCACAAGAGTCAAAAAGTGGGAGCAACCTAAATATCCAGAAATAGATGAATGGATAAGCAAAATGTACATATAATAGCGTTAAAGTCAGTAGGAAAAATGAAGTCATGGTACGTGTAGAAGAAGCTGGAAGACGTTATGTTGAGTGAAATAAGTCAGTCACTCCTTATAGGATTTTGGTTCCTTGATTTGGAAGTTTAGGGTCATGGTTTCATGGGGCATCCCAGTTAAATGGCCAGTAACATCTTCAGTGCTGTTCTGTCTCCTAGTTTGATGCCTGGTGCCTGGTCTCTATTTGCCTGGAGCAATAGAGGAAGAAGAAAGTCAGGAATAGGAAACTAATTGTCTTCTTTGCCGTGCAACCAGAAGAACGGGGTAATGCCTGCCTACCATTACTTAATGTTTTGATCAAAGATTTTATAGACGAACCCTGATCAAGAGGGGAATTGCAGAATGGAATTCCAAATTCTCAAGGACTCCAGACATCCTTGAGTCTTGAAGATTAGATGAACCCCTGAAAGTATTGCCCAGAGATGATCTTTAAACCTTAAACCAAAAATATCCCAAGTTCTTAAATCCAGACAGTTTGTTGTTGTTGTTAAATGCTGTCGAGTCGATTCTGACCATAACAACCCTGTATAGAGTTTCCAAGGAGCAGCTGGTGAGGCTGGACCAACAACCTTGCGGTTCAAACGACTTTGCAGCCTGACGCATTAGCCCACAGCACCACACCAGGACTTCAGACAATAGTTTAGCTTAACTAGTTAAAAAAAAAAAGTCTGTCTTGAGCAATACTTTTTTTTCAGAATAATCTAGATGAGATCAAAGTGACAACAGTAACTCAAATATTGGATGGGACTCTTAGGGGGCAGTAAGTTCCTGTTAGGAGGGTGTGAATGGCTGCACAGCTCACAGACTATGATGAGTGTCAGTGAAGTGCACATGTAGAAACCACTGAGTAAATAAAACCACACTGAGATACCATTTTCAGCAGTCAGGTTGGTAAAATCCCCAAATGTGACCATTCATTGGTGAGGCCCTGAGAAACAGACAGATCTAGACATTGGAGCAACCCAACATCGAGCAAATTGTGTATGCATTTACCTTTAACCCAGCAACCCTACTTGTAGGAATTGATCTTAATACTGGCAAACATATTATGAAAAATAATGTGCAGAAGGTCACTACTTGCAATACTGTTTGTAATATCCAAGATGGAACCAACCCAAGTGTCCCTTGGGAGGAGATTGGTTTAATAAACTCTATTTCATCCACATGATAAAGTGCTGTGGAGTTGTGCGGAGGGATGAGGATCAACAGTAGGTTGTTGAGTGAAGAACGAGGCTGAGAAAAGTGTGCATAG